TCCTCCCTCCCCCTCCCCCTCCTTCCCTTCTCCCCCTTCCCCCCAGCCACCTCATATCTGTTCGCTTGTCGTGTCAACTTCAAGGAACTGTGATTGTTGTAATTCCCAGATTTAAAAGGAGAAACTAAACTTCAAGGCGGGGCTGCGGATGGAGCAGGCCCAGCAAGGGGCCCCAGAGTCCGCGCCGTCCCACCGCCAGGGCAGACGCAGCCACAAAGAAGGCATCCTCCCGAGACATGAAGCTGGGGTTGCAAGGTTGAGGCCGTGTGGACGCAGTCCTCCTCCACGCACCGGGCTCTTCAGCTCCCCCGCCCGGCTAGGAGGCGGCCGCGATCCTCCGCCCGGAACCTCGAGGGCAGCTCGCGGAGGGAGGGCCTTGGGGCCTGGGACTTGGGAGGGCACTCGCTGGTCCTTACAATCCGGTTGACAACGTAGCGCCCGGGGTCAGGCCGGGGGCGGTGACTGCCAGCACCTGAGACGACGACTCCTGGGCGAGTTTGACTCCCCGTGGGACCCGGCCCTGAAGAGGAGCTGCGTTCGCACAGGGCGTCCCTGCGAGTCCTCTGTCCCCGCCTAGAGGGCAGGACCTCGGAGTCCAGGTCACTTGCTGCAGCCCTGCACTTGGACGCACCCGACGAAGGAGACGTGCCCCCGCGCTATGGAGGCCCCTGCCTCCCGCTCAAATCTCTGTGGCCAAAAAGCAGCTGGAAAAACCTGATTGATGTGTCCACTCTGCTTGACTTGGTCAATGACACTGGGCCCCCGAGCTGTCCGCCACAGGGTATACGCGCCCGGGCCCCGGTCTAGGTCCCACGTGAAAGCGCTGCAGCCCACGGGGCTTAGGGCGGGACCTGAGGTCCGGGCCCGCGAGGCTTCTCCCCGGCTCTGCACAGCGGAGTCACGCCCAGGGACGTGAGCCTGGCGAGGCAGGGCGATGTCGCCGTCCCCTGCCCCCGGCCCAGCTAAGTTTTTACTCCTTGCCCTCGTACCCGCCCCCTCAATCCTCTGGACGCCCTGTCCTCGGGTCCCCACCGAGGCGGAGACCGGCGCTCGAAGCCCCCGACAGCGAGGGG